TGTTGATAGAATAAGTAGGACCAGATTGATTGGTATGTAGAAAGCTTAGTGATTAAGAATGGGTTCCTTTGGGTTGAGTTCTATAACTTGGTGCGAAGAGCGAGTTCGAGTACGGTCAAATATTCAAAAAGTGCATCATCTATGTTTTGTTGCCATGTTTGCATGCTGAGTACACGTTCGGACCCATAATGTAATCTAAGGCTTCGAAGACGCTTAGCTAGATTAGAAGCGGAACTTCCAGCAGGGGGGAATGAGTGACAGAGCAGTTTGCTTAATGCAGCCAGTAACGAAACCTTACATTCTAGGTAGGTTCATTGTATTTCTAAGAGAAAATGTGCGCCTGCACGTGGAGGGCTAACAGTCAGTGGAATTTCACAAAATGATATAGTCACTGGTTGAAATACGTGAAGGGACAGCGATGTGAATTAACGAAGGACGATACCTAGTCCTTTTTCATCAGAATACTCTAATTTAATAATAGCAGGAATTTTTAGAAAAAAAAACTTTTCGTATCTGGCAATGCACACAAACAGACCGCATTTTCCCGACTTAAAATAGATTACCAGTAAGTCCCAACTTCTATGGATTTCCTGCATGCACATAAATATAACCAGCTTGACCGACATGCAGCGCGGCTCTATTTCTATCCCGACGTGCTTAGCAGGACGCAACATCGCAACTGAGACACTCTTGGTTTCCTTTTTGACTTGCGTATGTCTATCCAAAAGATACACAGACGATGCCGAAAGCTGGTATAGTTAAAATCCCCAGACAGGACTAATTTATGACTAGTTGTTCGAGGGCGTTTAGTTCATGTTCTTTTGAGAGGCTGACCCTTAGTTAACCTACTTTGTCCGCTATCTCCCGTTTATTCAGCTGCTGGTCCCTTTATAAAGCGTCCCTGAGCCAAGCTGAACTCGCCTCATAAAGCTTTTTTCCAGTAAGCTCCACAATTCTGTCATTATTGAAGTTCTACATTGCTAAAAGATTCCCCTTCACAGTTAAATAAACATTTTGGTTTCTGTCTCCAGGTATTCAATCTGCTTGGCAAATTAAAACAACTCCACATAATCAAGCCCTAAACAGCGATATATGGGATAAGATAAACGAGCAAGTTGCAAAGACCTATAATTAGTATACATTGCATGGACTTTTTGTTGTGGAATGCGTCCCCATAGGATGCATGCAGCGCGTGCGTCATCATGCGCATGTTTA